TTATTTCTTTTCATTTTAATGCAGCAGGCCTATATTAACACAGACTCAGGGTCTGCAGTCATGCTAGTAGCTCTGTGAAGCTATACTTACAGTAGACACAGCACTGCTTTGAGCTTAATGCTAAAATCAACATTTTAAAGTGAAAACTCTTATTTCCAAACCCAAAAGCACATCTCCACCATTATACCATTACTATAAGAAATATACTGTAACTCCCACATCAGAAAACAAGGACAGGTAAAACAACAATGTCTTTGTAAATGCTGCTAGCGTGGCTAAAAACAGCCTGCCACTAAAGTTAAAACCACTTAAACAAAGATACAAACACAAAAAACACAGTATTCAGGACACAACTTAAACACAATACATATTGCAACTGTAAAAAGTCAAATCTAATACAGCTAAACAGACATAAAGACTAGTACTGATACCAATGTGTTTCAATTTAAGCTGATAATAAGTCATTATTGGAGCTGACACTTATCCTTAAACTGAGCTGTGAGCTTATTGCATCCTATTTTAATGAGATCATACTTGACAAGCAGCTATTTATACAGATGTATATACAGTAGATGTGACGACGCCTCTAAAAATAACCATAGATAAAAATAAAAATGGAATCAAGAGTAAAATGTTGGTAGGTTTAAAGTGCAAAGGTACAAAACATTTGAGCTACATTACTATAAGTGGACAGTGTTGAGAACTTTGAAAGAATAGATGAAGGATAGAGCAGCTGGAGTCCTCAAATAGAAAACATAACAGAAAGAAATGTTCTTTGTATTTCCCATTGTCAGACGTAGCATCTAAACACAGAGATGTATCTGTCTGCGTCTGGACCTGTAAAACTAGGCACAACAAGCCAGAGCTATCCGGAAAATAAATACAGGTAAATAAACTGAAGCATTAATAAAAATCAAGGTGGTAATAATAATTAATAGAATATAAAATAAAAAATAAAAAGCAGCTAACTTATTAAAAAGACCAAAACCATACTTATATATATTCCTGTACCTTAAACCATTACACAAACATAATACAGCAAACTGTTCACCTACAATGTTCTCATCTGCTTAATCAAAACCCAAACGTTGGTCAAAAATCAACAACTTAAACTTAAATGTGGGGTAAGTAACATTCTTCTTACTTTCTAGTTTCCCAGTGTATATAGTAGCAGGAGAGTTGTGAGTATCGCTGTCTGGAGCTGGTGTTGCTCGCTCTGGCTGTGCAGCTGCAACTTTAGTGACAGTTTGCAAACCCACAACGCAGCTAACGTAAGTTACACTACAGGCTGTGTTGTTATTTGCACTGAATCATGGCATTTTGTCATCGTATTGGATGTCTCAGCATCCCGGAATCATTTACGTGGGGTAAATGATTGTTAAACTCGAAAAACCAAAAGTTGGTCACATTAACAACTAAAAACTTAATCAAAACACCCAAAATTGGTCAAACATGAACAACATAAGTTGCAAATCTGTGCATTTAAAAGTTGGTCAAATCTACACAAGTCAATCATTTTAATCTTACACAATAAAACAGAAACACAAAAGATATCAGAAGGTTCTGATTGAGGAAATACGTCTTTGAGTTTAGACTTTCTATAAAAATGATAGAAAACGTTTAAAACAAATGGATGAAACTGAAATAGAAACGTCAGGTTTCAGGGCGTAGGTTTGGTTTTAAGGCTGGTAGAGACACATTTGAAACCCACACTAATGTGTTTGTGTTCCTGTCCTCTCTTTCACACGCACATCATCAAATCCTTAAAAACTGCTTAATATGAGCTTATTTCTTTTTATGGATTTTTCTTTTTTTTTTACATTATTTTGGGAATATTCTTAGTAATATTTTCAATAATATTACATTACAATACATGAAAAAATAAGCAAAAACAGTCAACAGTGATACTGTGTCACTGTTTCAAGAAAATAACCTATAATCTATAAACCATTGAATCTTAAAGCAGTCTCAAGGAAAACGATCCATTGACCCACATTTTTCTCAGTAACGTGTTACATTACTCACGACTCTCTGCAACTTAAAGCGACCTGGATGTTTCCAGATGGCATCTTATTCCCTTCAGTGAGAGTGGCAGCCAGGAGGCACATGCCAATAAATTTCAGGTTCTGCAAGTTTTCTGCCTGCAGCACTGAATTGTTGCCAGTTTAGCGACTTTCTTGCTGGATTTGGCAACTTTTAAGATGTCATTTTTGTTTTGTCTTCAAATGATCCCTTGTCGAAGAAACTGCACCATGTAGGCAGAATCATCAAATCACTAGGTTAAACAACTAGTCCTACAGCTTTCATGCTTCCTCTAGTTCAACATGCTAAATCAGCCATGCAAACTGTTTCAAACCCCCTCTTGTACTTACACAGCTTATAGCATGCTGGTGTGTTACTCCTCTTTATCTTTTGGCCTCTGTCTGTTTCTGCAGAGACAAACTTGCGACTTTAGTCAGGCCTGATACTAAGGGATAGCAGCATTTAATCCTGTGTGTTTTCTAAAATTACACAAGTCTAGAGTCTAATCCCTTGATTGTATAGGACGTGTCCCGACCATCCACAGGCAAATCTACGCCCTTAGTTGCTCGTGCGAATGCAGTGAAAGTTTGGTTACGTTAGCTGACAAAATAATGCAGAGGAATGAGTGTGAAGTTCAACAGCAGGATAGAGTGGCTCACTGAACT